TGTGTGATTACCATAACAATGCTATTTTTCCCATTTACCTAATTAAGAAATCTGTTGAGTAATCTTATATGACTTGTGTAGCTAAGAAACAGTTGAGTGGGTCAGCCTCTGGACACCCATGGACTAGACAGATTCCAGAACAGTTGGTTTTGGCAAGGAAGTTAGCAGCTACCCATTAAAGATCTGTACTGTTTGTATTCAATGACGCAGACAGAAAGTGTCTGTGCACCAAAGAAAGCCTTGAAGAGCTATTATAGATCCTGCAAGGCAGAGTGGCCAGTAGAACAAGCAGTCAACCCTTTATGTTTAGACTGCCAATAAATTCCACTGCTGTAAGGTAACTTAACATCAAAACTAGTAGAAATAAAATAAAATTACCCAAAGATGTTTCCTAAGTTCTTCTGATTTCCAAGTATCTTCTTTGGTTCTTCTCTAGAAAAAACAGCAAAAGACTGAGTAATCAATTGGCAGAGAGAAGTAAATCATTTAACAATAGTTTATCCAATGAAAGAATCAAGGTATGTATGGCAAGTACCACTGAATTTTGTTGTGTAAACATTAATTTGATTTAGCCCCATTGCGTATACTTACAGTGCACCTGATCTGACTGGACCTGGAAGAGGCCTGAAGCTCAGACTTCTACCGGGCTATCCAGCTCCGCACACACATGGTAACCAATTTTGAGGTCAGTGCCTATGGTGGGTAACAGTGGGGCCCTTCAAGAAAGATGTAAAATTGGTCTTCCAATGATAGACCAAATGGGTACACACAGTCAGGCCACTTCTGGAAAGTAATCAATGTATCAATGTCACTAGGTTCAACCTCCTGATCTATTAGATCTAACTTCAAAGTCCTGGTCCGGGACTTATCTAGGTGAGGTTTTAATATCTTTGAGGTTGGAGTTTTTCCGGGCAACTTGGTTCTTGGGTTTCACCACTCCAAATTAAAAACGTTTTCCTTACATCGAGTTATAATTTCCTTTGCTGACAGTTAGGGCCACTATTTTCTGTCCCCTCACTGCACATCTCGGAGGAGAATTTGGCTCCATCTTTTCCACAGCTCCTCTTTAGATACTTCAAGACAGAAGTCAGATCCCCTCTGAGTTTTTTCTCTAACCTGTACAGCTCCTTAGCCTCCTTCCCATATACACCAGGGCTCCAGCCCCACAGCCATTTCAGTGCCTCACTCTAGAATCTCTTTAGTACCGGGGGCCTTAAAACCAGAGGTAGTGCTGCAGACAGGGCCTCACAAGTGCTGAGTAGAGGAGCAGAGTCTTCCCTACACTGATGACTTGCATTCAAATTTCTGTCCACCAGGACCCCTGGATCCTTTTTCTGCAGAACCACTCACAGAACCCATTCACACGGCAAATTGTGAATACAGGATTCTTCCCTTAGACATACCATTTGAGCCGCCCCAAACTCAGCTGTAAGAACATTTCAGAAGACAAATAACACAGGCAAGCAGCGAATCTAAAAATACTGTGACAAATGTAATCCTCTTTTTTTCAGCAGTGGGGATCTGACATAGCCACAACACATTTTTGTTAGACTTCTAAAAACTAAAAGTTACAAATAGTTAATTACTGTGCATTTCAAGTGAACCAAGGAAGCTCCTGGTTTAGTAACTGCACGCATGTCAAAAAAAGCTGGCACTATTTTTCAATGAACTGTCACTTAGTATTTTAAAATGGTCAGACTACGTCTGTAAATTGACCACCATATGAAATATTTGTATGCAGCACTGAAGAAAAAGGTAAAAAAAGAAAATAATCAGAGTATACGTGGACATTGTTTCACTAGACTTCTCCCTAGTTAAACAGGTTATATTTCTTCTAATTCGCAGAGTTACTACCCTTAATTGCTTGGCTGCTGCTAAATAAACTAAAAAAATCATATCACTTGAAATCACTACAGCAAATGAGGAATTTTAATCTACTGAATATTTTTAACTAGTTCATTGAAGGATGATGAGCGTATTCAAAGTGACATGACCAGGCTACATTTATTCTCAAATTTAGACTTGGTAAAAGTTACTAAAGATTAATAAAATAATCACTAATAAATATTTGAATGTCGGGGTGCACTAGTGGAAAATAATAAACATATGGGACTCATTTTTTGCTAATTTATTATATGGAAGCAGCATTTTAGTAGTATATTTTAATTTTTTAATTATTCTACATGAAAAAAATTATTGTATTTTCAAACTTCGATTCTAGAGAAGATTGTAGTGAACTGGTAAACTCCATCTAAAGTCAATCAGAAGTACCAAGGCGGCAGCCTCTATAACAAAACAGAAGTGCCCTTTAGGTTGTTAAACTTGAAAAAGGCAAAAAAGTACAAACATTTACTACCACAGACAGTCAGATGAGAAAGTAAAACCAAAAGTTGATCCTTCTCGAGTGAAGTTTTAACAAAGCCTAAGAAACTCAACAGAACTTGTGTGAGGGTAAGCTGGAAGGAAGGATATGGATGGGCAGAAGAGTGTGCTGTATCCTAGTCTCAAACAGTAACCTATTTAAAATCCCTAATGTATATGATTATACATATATACATGTATATGATTATACATATATATTATATATTGGTTTTAGACAACATTTACGTACATATCAGCAAACAAAGAATGCAAATGATGTTAATAGCCAAAAACCAGTATAACCAATAGACAATGTCAGATAAGGTATTTTGAGTTTTATTTCAAAGCTGAAGCAAAAAGCATGTAGCAAATCTTTAAAGGTGATTCCCTAGTGCCCAGAAAGCTGCATCTGCCACTCTTCTGGGGTCTGCAGTTTTCATCTTCCACCACCCGCAGAATCTGTTGCTTTTATATATGATGATTTTCCACTTAATTCTCTGCTTTTGCAGGAGACCAACAAACCAGCAAATAGAGAGATCTTTTATAGAGCATAAAAAAAGTTTGAGACCACTGTCCCTCTGTAAGTATAGGAATCATGGTACATACAAAAAGAAATGTTTAAAACAAACTTTAAAAGGATTTATTGACATTTCTCACCTGTCTGCTAATTTAGAAGTCCTTATATACTCACTTAAATCCAGGTTAGAGATTAGTTATTTAAATCACACTGGGTTTTAACTTAATTTATCCACCTGAGAGCACAGGCAGCTCATCAGCTGACAGAAAATGCCACAGATTTACTGAACTCAGAAAGCACTACACAAATTTTTAACATTTAAGAATCTGTCCTTTAAACTAAACAGTAAGTATGTTGCCTTACGAAGTTAGTGGAACACGTGACTATGCTATCTTACATAAACTCTTCCAGAGAGATCAAGAGGGGTTTCTTCACTCACAACCTAGAAAGTTTGAGGGTTTTCAGAACTTAGCATTAAGTTTTTAACAAAGTTAAGAACTCAGTTAATGAAGATTGTAAAGAAAAAAGAAACAGAAAACCAGTAAGAGAAATTTCTGTAGTTTTTAAGCCAAAGTATTTTATTTTTGCATATAAATATTCATCTTATTTCTATTAGCAGTTGTCTATTTGGGAGCCCTCAAACAGGTAAACAGCACAAGTAATAGACTTGATTTGATAGAAGAGAAACAGCAAAAGGAGGCTTTTTCATACAGAGTGGCTGTTAGTACGACTGCCTCTGGGTCTTTGGCACCAACACACCTGAAAAGTTTTAGATCAAAGTTTAACTTTCCATCACCATTCACTAACCTCTTCTCAGTAAACAGGTTATTGATATACTACAAATAATAAAATGATATCAGAATTAAAATATTCAGAGTGGTCCTAACATACTACTTCACATACTCCCCCCAGCCACTCTATTTCCTACTCCATTTCCTATTCAGCATGACCACAAATTCATTAGCTGTAAAATCCAGATACACACTATCATAATAAAAGCAATTTGATACTTCTGCTTTTTCAAGCGAATATGTAACACAGTAATTCATGTTAGCAGGTCCATGTGGTTTTGTTTGCTTTATTTTGAAGGTCTACAAACTCTTCATAATTTAACACACCATCATACAAAAGTTACCTGGGTTCCTAAAGAACTAAACCCCAACAATCAGCAGTTACAGGAGTGTTAATTATTAAATATATTGCATCTATAATCTGAAACAGTAACAGCTCTGGACACTTCCATAAACCACTCCTCTCCTGCAGGAAGGTCTGTGGCTAACACAGCCCGGCCCTTCTGGCGGAGAAGGGAGGACTCCCCCCAGTGCCGCTACGCGGGCGAGAGATTCACCGGCCCGCTGCCACAGCACGGAGGCTCGACTCGCCCAGGGAAGGCCGTGGGGTGCTCAGGGGCAGCAGAAGAAACACTGCGGCTGTTTCTGCCTTCGCCCCCTCAGCCTCCCCGGCTTACCCAGCGTCAGGGAC